AATTGAAATTTCAGTAACCCGTGATGTCACTAGGCAGCTTTACCACGCCATTTGTAAGCTCCCCTCCCGAAATCACTATTCGAAACCGTTATCGTGACGTAAAATAAATACATTTATAGAAAGAACACCTTCCTATTTTTTTGCATACTTCTTAACAATGAGCCAAATATTTTTTTTAAAGAAATAAAAATTCAAAAAAATTTGGTCCCAAAGTCCAAAAAATACAAAAGAAAGAAAACTCGATATGTCATATATCAAAAATAGCGTATTTTTCGAAGTTTCAAAAATACATATTAATCTGTTTCATTGCAAGTTCAATGTTATATAACATTTGGCATTTGAATAATCCGTCTTAGAGTTACAGCCCGCCAAACTTAGCGCTGCAAAGCAAGATCCAAAAAATGCTATACACCATAACTAAAAAAATACTTATCTGATAAGCCTGAAATTGTTACAGGTGGATTCAGAGCCCTGATTACCCCTGAGACCAATTCTCGTCAAATTCCGAGAGATGAGGGTGTCAAATTGGAAAAAAGTGGTACGATCTATCGTGGAATGCCCCAGAAGTTGAACTAAGATCCCTAGGAAAAGGAACGATCGCGACGGATTAGCCGGATTCCGGGATTGGGATTGACCTCTCAATGCGGTCTTGGGACTGACCTGGCTGGTCGCTGGATATCACAGATCAAGATGCAGCAAATCTCCATCCCAATCCCTGTCACACGCGTAAATTAAATATAACCAGTATAGCGCCTTTTGGGGCGACTAACGGAGCGAGCGAGAGGGCGAGCCTTGCACGTGCGAAATTTCGAGGGGGTACCTCCAGCTGATTTGTGCACGGCACCCTACTAACCGGTCTCTAGCGATGTGCCAAATTTGAGCACAATCGGCCCAGCCGTTCTCGAGATCTGGAAGCGGCACCCTGCACGTGCGCACGTGCAAAATGGGTCCCAACTGACTTTTGCACGGCACCCTACTAACCGGTCCCTAACCATGTACCAAATTTGAGCGCCATCGGTCCAGCCGTTCTCGAGATCTGGAAACGACCCCTGCACGTGCGCACGTGCAGCAGCACCCCAACTCTGGCACATGGATATGCAGTGCCTAGTGGGTGCCTACCTACATGCCAACTTTCAGCGCAATCGGCCAAGTAGTTACCGAGATATTGCAACAATTACAAAAGTGACACCTCTTCGTTTTGCACGTGGCACGTGCATAAGGGGTCACCCACATGCATCGGGAATAGTCCAATACTTGGTAGAAGGAATGAAGCTACCCCACAAAAATTACCGCATGTAAATCGGTCAAGTGGTTGCTGAGATATAAGCCTCGCAAAAGCGTGACCACGGCCGGCCGGCCGGCCGCTCATACTCAGAAATTTCCGTTATTCTACGTAAGACTCCGCTCGCTTCGCTCGCTCCGTAACAACCACACACATGAGCACGAGAGGGTGGGCCTTGCACGTGCGAAATTGCAAGGGGGTACCTCCAGCTGATTTGTGCACGGCACCCTACTAACCGGTCTCTAGCGATGTGCCAAATTTGGGCACAATCGGCCCAGCCGTTCTCGAGATCTGGAAGCGGCACCCTGCACGTGCGCACGTGCAAAATGGGTCCCAACTGACTTGTGCACGGCACCCTACTAACCGGTCCCTAACCGTGTACCAAATTTGAGCGCAATCGGTCCAGCCGTTCCCGAGATCTGGAAACGACCCCTGCACGTGCGCACGTGCAGCAGCACCCCAACTCTGGCACATGTATATGCAGTGCCTAGTGGGTGCCTACCTACATGCCAACTTTCAGCGCAATCGGCCAAGTAGTTACCGAGATATTGCAACAATTACCAAAACGGACACCTCTTCGTTTTGCACGTGGCACGTGCATAAGGGGTCACCCACATGCATCGGGAATAGTCCAATACTTGGTAGAAGGAATGAAGCTACCCTACAAAAATTACCGCGTGTAAATCGGTCAAGTGGTTGCTGAGATATAAGCCTCGCAAAAGCGTGACCACGGCCGGCCGGCCGGCCGGCCGGCCGGCCGGCCGGCCGGCCGGCCGGCCGCTCATACTCAGAAATTTCCGTTAATCTAAGGAAAGACTACGCTCGCTTCGCTCGCTCCGTAATCACAATTCACAGCAAAGCTTGAAAAGTTGAAATCATTGAATTCACAAGGGTCACGCTACACAACACATTCGGAATGTCAATAATGTCAATAATTCCGAGAATTCCATTCATTCGATTCATTCAAGGTCGTGGGAATAAAAGAGCAGAAATTACAAGAGTATTTTTAATTCTTTTTAAACGGGTAATATTCGGCAAGTAAGACTGAATGTACATTCCATATAATATATTTGGAGGAATAAAATTAATAAATTGCAAAAATGTCACATAAAATCCTAAAGCAGCTAAATTTCTCAATTTTCAACGTCATTTTTGACATCGCCTCGAAAATTTATCAACAGCATGTCATACACTGGCGACATCTATACAAAGAAGTAGTAAACGTGCAGAGACACCTACAAAACAAATATTCCTCAAATGCAATTGCTGTCGTTCACGGTTTGTCATCTTTGAAATAGGCATTTGTTGTTTCTTTTCTTGGGAAGTCCAAATGATGTTCACGCATCCGCAGGGTATCTCAACAAATAGGGCGAAACAAAACGAATTATGGATGCAGCATTACCGCTAGCACAATTCTCTAATCTGTTTCCTCGGTGTTCAATGATGCCGGAATCGTCACAAACCAGTACCCGTCACCCGGCGGTTCCCATGCAATATTGGCTGCTACACATCCCTGAGCACCGACCGGCCGCTTAGTAACTGTTTCTGGGAACAGAAATCTGCCAGAAATTGGGCTGACTCTGAACACGCCGGCCGTCCACCGTCGAAAAGGCGGCAATGGCGGCAATGATTCAACCTGCGCCCTAAGGGTGTGAGAGTCCAGGGCGTTACACATGCTAAATTCGGCAATGAAGTGTGAAAACGAGTGATACTGTGTGAAGCCGCCTCACTGCGCCGATTTGCTCCACGTCTATCACTGCCCGCTGGAAGGGAAACCATAGCTCACTCCCACAGGCCACACCACGACGTAAAAGATGCATATCAAATCAGAAAACTAACACCACCCTCCCACATCACCGTAACACCTATCCAAAGCGAAACTATACACGCACACCTATCCGTGCTTCTATCCCCAGGATGCTGAAATCCTTCTCCTCCACGCCACAACCCCCTTCCGGGCTTGGCAGGCAACTTTATCTCATGCGGGCTGCTCCCTTGGAGCGGCACCGCTGCTCCCGAGGGAGCGCACCCCGTAGCCGGGTGCAGTGAGTGCCTTGGGGCTGGGTGGCCTGTCCTCTGGACGGGCTCAGCCCCGGCGACTCACTAGGGTGCCTGCCCAGACCAATGTCTCCCCCTAATTCCTATCATCCTTCCGGCTCTGCAATGGTCTTGTCGACCGAAAGGGCCTAACCCAACAAAACAAAACAAATATACACGCACAGAAACCGTAAGTCACAAACCGTACCGAACCCGTGCGGGTACTCACTCAATGCGCCCCTTCTCCTCGGCTCGAAACACGGAATCCTTTCCGAGAACATCCAGAATCGCTTCAGCTTCGGCGTCAGGCAGCTCGGAGAGGTCCAGACGGAGCACTTCGTCGTGCGGCACCACCACCAGCCTGCCGTTCGAGTCGCCGTCCTCCAGAGGTATGTCCTCCATCGCTGGGTCGCTGTTTGAGGCGGGTTCCTCGAGAGGAGGAGCCGCGGCTGGTCTCGTGGGTGGAGGAACCGGCATCTTGGTGGCTGAGGGAGAAGACGGGGAGAGGAGGGTTAGCAAGGGGTGAATTGAGGTCACATGAGGTCAGAGGTATTCAGTAGAGGACACCTGAGGTCACATGGTAATCGTAGGTCACGTAAGGCAAGTGGCAGTCACAGAGGTCACCTAGCTCACTAGATGGTCAGTAGAGGTCACACAATGCTCAGGGTTACCCGAGGTCGACAATGGTCAGTCACCTGAGGTCACACAAGATAAGATCACACGACGGCCAGTAGAGGTCGCCCAGTCACACGATGATCACAAGAGGTCCCCTGAAATCACACGCTGGTCAGTCACCTGAGATCACACAAGCTGAGGTATGCACGGTCAGCAAAGGTCCCCTCGGCGTGTCGTGACTCTTCCCATCACCTGCCACCACTGTAAACTGCCCCGGCCCAACTGACCGGCCGGGGAGAGGGGGAGAGTGACTCACACTACCGGGAGCGAGAGCAGCTGTATGTGCCGACACGGATAGCTCCCGTCGACACCTGTGAACGCTCTCACTGAGTGGCCAGGAGGAGTCCGGTCCGGCCAGTGCCCCCTCCCCTCCCCACCCGAGTCAGTGGTGCCATGCCACGGGACAGGTCAATGACTACACGTGTGCACGCACATTCTATCGCCACATATGTGACATGAGCTTCCACTGTTGTAGCACTGTTAGATGCTAGCGCGAAATTCAACATATTACTTTCACGGACAACAAACAATAAAAAACGGTCAAGCAAAGCGACCTGCAAAACTGCAGAGCGCTACTCACCTGCTTTCCGACCAGTTCCGTCTCCGGCGTCTCGATCAGGGGTCAGCGGCCTCTCCGAAACCAGCAGCACACCCAGCTCACTTCATATGTCAGTAAGACCGATACACACTCACCAACTCCCTTCACGTTGTCCCATCACACTCCCTCCTCTCGCTCCCCCAGTCAGTCCTTCCGTCCGTCCTCCCGCCCGCCGCACTACACCGAGTGCCCCGGAGGACCCCCACCGTCCGTCTCACCAAACCTGACACCGCATACGGCTGCTCCTTATCAGTCAGAGCCGCCGCAATCCCCACACTTATCGAGACCGTGCCACCGCGAACACCGGTGTCAAGAAGCCTTGAAATCGACTCCCGAGAGCAGATGATAAGTCCCGGAAGCTGATAATCCACAGGCGTTACGTACCAGCATCCATCGAAAACTAATTCGTAGTATCACAATACACATTTATTTCGGATTTTGATGGCGATAAAATGACAAGGAGGTTGATAAGAGCGAATGTGAAGCCCGTCATAAACTGACACGTCCCCGCAGAGGCGGTGATAAGATGAGAGCATGACCACCCCTCCCCGGCCCCCAGCGGCCGTGGCAGCCTTGTGATGGTCACGGCCAGGTGGGAACATTCCCATCTGTTCCCCCTGATGACGCACGTCACTAGTAACGTCACATCACGTCATCACTGAGGAATGACGGTTCCAGTAATGCCCAGCACTGACTGACTGAGTCCATTGGCACATACCGTTATCAACACAGCTTCCCATCCCCAGCATCACATCCCTTCAACCAGCAGTGTTGGTCCTCTAGCCCGGAACGACCCATAGTCGAACCCTTCGCTCGACTGTTCAGAGAGCCGAGATAGAGCGCTCGGCCGTCCCTTCATTGGCGGCTAGATTGGCAGTAGACGGTTCCGTGACAGGCTAACAGTCTTCCACAGCGTTACGAATTGTAACAAGCCTCAACAAGCGACCACAAGGCATCACATGGCACCACAAGCCACCACAGACGCACCGACGCTCTCACAGAAATTCACAATCCCCTGCAGACTTCCATGACACTCACACAAGTCCTCAGACGTACAAAGACGCTCCGGGAAATCTTCATGAGTTCACAGAACCTCACGGACTGTCTTTCACAGAGAACAGCTGCACACCGCCGGGGGAGAGGATGGACCCGGGCGTCCTGCCGCCGGCCTGTCCCACCGGGGACATCAGCGAGCCCGTCACATTCGCCGGCGGAGAGGCCAGGCCGCTGGCGCCGGAGACAGAGGGTGAGAGCAGCGAGGCAGAGGGCCGGAGCGGGGTGGCCGGGCCGGCCGGCGCTGCTGCCAGCAGACCGCCGAGGAGACCTCCGGAGGCAGTGGCTGATACGAGCATCGGTACCTGCTGGATTCGGCCGCTCGACCACGCCTGGGGAGGGGGGAGGGAAAGATTAGAAGTTAGTGATGTTATAGGCGGGCTAGAATGACTAGATGAAAGGTCCGACAGGACACTGACAAAAAAAAAAAAGCAAGAAACAACACTGAATGGGAGATCCATGAGAAGAACCAAGACCGGTAACTAACGGGAATTCAGAGCTTACTTTGCTTACCTTACTCGTCAACTGTTCCAAATCCTATATCACAGGCAACTTGACACACAAAATTTCGTTCAATAGCGGATACCATTACTCTGGCGCAGCAGCGTCCATTCAGGCATTGCGTATCGCGCCGACCAACTCACCACGCAGAGGGTGGCCGTGTCCTGTAGGTTCTGCTGGAAGGCGATATCCATCACCACCTCATCCACCGAGCCGCGGAGTACGCCACTGGCGAAACGGGATACCACGCACAGGTTACTGAATGTTTCACTTTATGGTACACACATATGGAAATGGAAGGCTGGCATGGATTCTGATCGTAACATAAAGTTGAGACTGTCTTATGTGCGAATTTGACATTAACGCTCGCTGTCGTTTAAACGACATAACTTTACCTTACGACATACCTACTGAACCCGATAATCACAAATGTGATAAGCAGAAAATCGATAAAGCACATGTGTTTAGCACATACCATGACAATTTTACCAGTTTGAATGCAAACAACAGTCCCCAACGACCCGGGTACATCTGTCTTGAGTGTCTGACCCCCATGTATCCACACACCGTACATACTCACCAAGGGGTGATGCGCAGGTGCGGGTGGAGATCTGTAGCGAACACGGCCACGGCGTTATAGTCGACGAACGAGACGGCCAGCCGGCGACCTGTGCTGTCCCAGGATAGACCGGCGATCTCCGCACCAACGCTGGGGAGGGAGTCGAGTCAAATACAGACATATACTACACACGGCCACAGCGTTACAGTCGACGAACGAGACGGCCAGTCGCCGGCCGCTGCTGTCCCAGGATACTGGATAGACCGGCGATCTCCGTACCAACGCTGGGGGACCGGAAGTAAATGTTCTCTGACGCACTGAGATGATACCGTTATATGTACACATACCTACACAAGGCCTGAAGTTACAGTCCCACGGCATACCGCAGAAACTCTTTGGGACGGATAAATCAGCGACTCATCTCCCATCAGAAGTTCCTTACCTTACTACGATGTGGTACGGAGTGATCAAAATTGTGTCATTTAGGGCACAGAACAAAACGAGACAATATAAAAAAGAGAAAGAGCAGGCTACAGAGTGCAGACAACAAAGTACGGATCGCCCCACTTACCGTAGCGCCTCCCTGCGGGCCCGCGTCTCTCTGGTCTCATCCGCCTCTGGTGGGCTGCTGGTGAGATCAATCACCGGAACCGGACGGGGAGCCGAGTCGTTCAGCAGGATCGGCACGAATGACAGCGAGTACACCACTGAAAAACAGAGAGACAACAGTTAGCCACTTAACAAATTTTACATCACAAACCTAGCTGCGACGTGTAAATGTTCATTAGTCACAATGTGAACACCCCTCCTCCCCTGCCCATTCTAGACAACTCTTTGTCGCCTTTTGTCACCTATCTGCAAATGTAGATAGGTATCCGAAGCTGACAGCTGATAACCCGGTATGATATACGAATTAATCGCCCGACAGTGAACGGACAGTCCCAGTCTCAACCCCTCAGATCTCAGCCACAATCAGCTCAGCTGCAGGCCAGCTATCGGGCAGATAGTACTACACGTCCGCACCAAGAAGCTGCGGCTATCAGTTGTTTCAGTCTAGCACCGTGCTGCTGGCAGGCTGTTGTGCGCTACCGACCCGGTAGAGCGACCGAAAAAGCGCAGGGTGACTGATTTACGCCACCAATTAGGTGGACCTCAGCGAAATATTGAGCAGTGCATCATCTAGAACTATCAGATCATGATACCTCATATCTTTATCATCGCGAAGCTAATCACTTGAGTGGGTTGGAGGTAAAACGTAAACATAAGTTGTTTTACCCATAACGATGAAAACGTCTACCTAATATGTATTCACACTGATGAAGAGACAACCTCAAATTCTCATAGCATTCACGAGCACTGAATTAAGCCTAGATTAGCTTGATACGTTTCCATCATTGGAAGAGCCAGCAGTCCCGATTCATAGATATAAGTTTTTGTTCGATATTCTATATCATCAGTATAACATCTTTGTTTCCTTCCTACCTCTCCCTCACAACTCCACCCGTTCCTCAGCTCACGCACCTGGCTCCCCGGCGGTGGCAAAGAGCGCCGTCTGTCCGTCCGGCGACCAGCAGGCGCAGCTCATCCGGGCGCCCGACACGGGGCCGCGGTACCGCTCGTCAGTCCAGCGCGCTGTCTCCCATACTCTGTACACAGGAGAGAGGGGAGGGGAGGGGAGGGGAGGGGTCATACGGGCGCCCGACACGGGGCCGCGGTACCGCTCGTCGGTCCAGCGCACCGTCTCCCATACTCTGTACACAGGAGAGAGGGGAGGGGAGGGTCATCCGGGCGCCCGACACCGGCCCGCGGTACCGCTCGTCAGTCCAGCGCACCGTCTCCCATACTCTGTACACAGGAGAGAGGAGGGGAGGGGTCATCCGGGCGCCCGACACCGGGCCGCGATACCGCTCGTCAGTCCAGCGTGCTGTCTCCCATACTCTGCCCAGAGGGAGAGGGGAGGGGAGAGGTCATCCGGGCGCCCGACACGGGCCGCGGTACCGCTCGTCAGTCCAGCGCACCGTCTCCCATACTCTGTACACAGGAGAGAGGGGGAAGATCAGATGGTGGAATATTAGTCACATGGTATTTCACACACTATTTTACCGAGGCATTCAGAAACGGGGCTCATCGGTACATATCTCCTTCAACATTAACGTCTTCCCATTTACTTTTCGTTAACGTCTTCCCAGGAGTTCTCAATACCTTTTCACTGGCACATTTATAAATAATCGGTCCCTGTCCCGTCGCGCGTTCTGAGCATCTATCTAACTAGTCCTTTATCCGCCCCTTCACCTATCGCCCCGTGCCACTCTTCATCCCTTGTCTGATCATCAAAGCCAAGTACTGTCCCCTTACTTTCCTGTCTCTCCAATACCATCCTCTATTATATGTCTCACACATTTTTTTTTGTGTTGGTTCGCCAATCCTCTATTCCCTTACCTGAACGTCTGTCCAGTGGTGGCCCCGAGCACCTTGCTACCGTCCGGGCTCCACCGACACAGCGTGTTCCCCAGCCACCAGACGCGGGAGAGCGGCACGTGGGTCTCCTCAGCCACGTTCCAGAGGATGAGAGCGCCGTCACCGGGACTGGCAGAGACCAGCAGGTCTCCCTGGGGTGAGAGGGTGACGGTTAGAGCGGGAGGGGGTGACGACGAGTCACTCACGGGTCACAAGATCACGGGAGATGACATATTTAGCGGTGAGAGACTACAAAAAGTGGTAGGGTAAAATGAAATGAAAGACATTACGATAAATTATAATAGGGTACCGACAACCCGAGGTGAATCTAGAGGAATCTTCGACGTCCAAAAAGGCACGACCAGCAAGGAATGCAACGAATCCGCATATGCAATGGCAAACCAGCATATGAGACAATAAGAAGTAAGAACGCTATAATAAAGCCGAGACACGTCTCCACTATATACTCGTATAGTACGAGATATTACAGGATATGTGATGCTCCAGCTTAATTCCACTTTGAAGTTTTCAAGACCAAAAAAAGTCAAGCAAAAAAAAAAAAAACAGTAATCGCAGCTGAGACCCGCATCGCTTCCGTCTCGCTCACCAGGGGGCTCCACTGGACGCAGGAGACGGGCGCGTGGCCCGGTGCGGTCAGGGTCTGAGCGCAGCTGCCCGGTGGACGTGTGATGACCGAGTTGGGCTCCAGAGTCCACACCAGCACACAGCGCTCACAGGCCACCGCCAGTAGCGACGCCGAGTGAGGTCTGGGGATAACACAGAGGTCAGACAAAGGTCAAAGGCGTTTCAGGTTGGGACAAATCAGTAGTGAAGACAAAACGCGCAAAAAAAGTAACAGTTTGTTGAACTCGGATACTCACCCCTCCCTGTTCCACATCGTATCCCGTCGTCCTGTTACCTGCCATATATGGCATATGTAAGCACATTTCTTCTACTTTTACCCTATTCGGCTTTGCTTACGCTTATCTCGCATATTTTTGGTGATGGTTCGCCGATATTCTTCTAACTTTCCATCTATTCTGTCACTATTTTCCAGGGAACCATTCCATCTACCTTTACCACTGATCTTGCAAATCTATCCTCTGACTCACTTCCAGTGCAGGTCGGCCACGCGCCGCTGCAGCCGGTGTTTGATGAGCGGCACGGTCGGCGCCTGGGTCTGGTACACCCGGATAGAGTCGTCCCTCAGGACCACTGCCAGTCGGGTGGTGTGAGGGTGCCAGGCCACCCGGCGCACCACGGCGCCGGCAGGAGCGCCCGGCACAGAGACCGACAGCGGGCTGCTCTGTGACGCGCAAATGGAGAGGCATGGATGGTCAGACGGAGACGTAGACACACACACGAGTTCATGCATCCATGTTCTGATCAATTAAAAAGAAGCAAGAAGACAATAACTTTAACATCCAACAATGAAGAGAACAAGCATGCAAAACGAATCCAATTACCATCTTCTTAAATTACTAAAGAAACGAGCTAGAATAGTAAAGCCCAGAGACACTGACTAGGTAGCCCTATTCAAGCCCTCATTCTAAGCCCTTCATTCTCTGATTTCCCGCCGTCCGTACGCATCGTGCGTTTTCCGCCCCACTCACTATGCTGGCCGTGTAGGGCAGCCGCACCAGGGTCGTAAGTAGCGCCACCAGCCGCCGGGCCCAGCCGGGGAGACTGTCGGCAGCTCTGCCTGACGCGAGGTCATCTAGTACGCCTGATATACCTGCACGGTGCCTGCGGGAGCGGGGACTAAGTCAGTACCTATAACGTAAAACGACGTTACGGCTTGCGGGGCCGGGGGGACAAAAAGCAGGGGACAAAAGGCCGGTATAGCTTATAATGACGATATAGCTCGAGAAAAGATACTCATTATCTTCGGAACAGAAGGGTGTATCGTGGAGCGTGACTCCCTACGAGATGTATGAGAATATTGACTCCAATGACGACAACGAAAACTGAAACATCGGCGACAGGTAGGTAGGGCAATAAGTGTGCATGTTTAGCGCAGGTCAATAGACCGTCCTAACAGAAGCTGACCAGCTTGCTAGCTTGTGATATCCTATCGACTCATATTGACATCTCACATTATGTGCAGTTTGCCAGTATATCAATCGGGGGCATGGCCAAATACAGTCCATCATAATCACGCTCCTCACCAGCTGGCCAGCAGTCTGGATGTGGTCGTCTCCTCTGTGGCCAGGAAGGCGTTCTCCACGGTGCCCACTTTGGTCGAGGATCGCACAGCGTCCGGTCGGATGGTGACATTCAGCTGATCGGTGAGCGGCAGAGGCGCCACCTGGAGCCGGCCGCCGGCCTCCTGCACGTGCGGCCCGCTCACCGCCAGCTCCGGAGACAGCTGACTCAGACTGCACAGACGCTGCCGGCCGCCGTCTGTGGGACACGTCAGCAGTGGGACACAACTCCAACTGGTGATGGCGACAGCTCGAACCAACGCCAGGAAAGAGTGGTTTAGGAATAAATGAATGCTGGAAAACATGCCACTATTGATATTGATATTTCAGGCATGCCAGAGCTCCTGGCCACACTGTTGAGAAATTCACTTCCAATGTCTCTGGAGTAATCCATGTATAGAGCTCTGCAACACCAAAACTGCAGAGTGACAAGTGGGAGCCAGCCAAACCAGCCAAACGAGCCCAAAGCAACCAGGCTAGAAATCTGCACCAGCCCACACTGAATAAAACATAAAAATTTTACTAAAGCTTATAAACTGTTTTGGTAATAAGACAAAGCTGCAATAAAAGGTCAAGTCTTCCCTGACCAGCCCTGAGCCTATTGTGTCTCCTCATCCTGTGCATATTTTTTTGACAATGCTTTGCTAGCATGGTGGTTTACCATAGTAGGTTTAGACCATGCCTATTGGTGCCCAAAGTGCTCCCCTCAAAATCCACACCACTTTCTGCAAACACACCAGAGTAAATTCACACCGTATGGCACAAGTGCCTCCACAGGCCATATTCACAATGACAAGATCTTGCTCAAATTGCCATGCTTTGCAGTATGGCCAGGTGCCAGCAATGCAAAAATATATCATACAGCACAATTGCAAAAAAAAAAAAAATGCAGCGGCCAGTAAACATAAAACTTTTCAACCTTAACTAAACAGATTAAAAAATAGTAGGTTGGTGTATTATAAAATCATTAGTTACTTACAAAGCATGCTGGAGGTATCCATGGTATTCACCAATCACCAGCAATATGCAGAGAAACTCTGAAACAACAATGATAAATGATATGTCATATAACTTGGGAACATCCCATAGCCCAGTTGGTAAAGCTTTGAACTCCTGGTGGTGAGAGCCCAGGGTCGAAACACACTGGAGGTCATTATTTGACACAATTATTTTATCAATATTTTGACGGGGATGGTCTGCAGTTGGTGCGATGCGATGCGATGCGATGGTTTTCGGAGGTTTAGCCTTTGTATCGGCACCTCCTTGATTTCTTAATCTTTAACTTTTACTTTGATCGATGGGTTGCATTGTTATGGTTGGTTTGTGTGGCTAGGATTCTCACTAGGGGACAGGATTGGGTGTTGGGAGGATGAAGGTCAACTAGGATGGAGAACTTTGTTTTATTTCCAGCAGTCTTCTTTTCTTCCACAGCTTAAGCAATACTTCTTTCTTTTCTTCGATATCTTCCTCCTCAAACAGAAATATCCCTAAAATATCCTTTGCATAGGGTTTCTGAAGATGCATTGATTCTTTTCTTTCTTCTTCGTAGGCTGGGCAATTCAATATAAAGTGGGCGAGGTCTTCATTTTCTGCATTGCACATCATACATCTTGTGTCCTCTTTCTTGTATCTCTTGCGCTCATTTAGAGGAAGACAGTTAGCTCTTGCCTGGAAAAATATTGTTGATGCTTGCTGGTTGTCAATAAACGTTACTTCCTTCATCTCCTTTTTCCAGACAATATACAGGGACAGAGTAGTTTTAGTTAACAATTCCTCCTTCCATTTCTTTCCATCCCATTTTTGCATGTGTGTTTTAAGGTCTTGTTTGCTTATCTGATACAAATCCTTTACTTTGAGTCCGACTTCCTTAATAATGGAATAGGTTACCTTTATCCATTTGTTCTTGCCCTCGTCCATCATTTCTGTTAACACCTCTTTGAGTAGTTGATTTTTTCCTTGCAATATGCTTCTCATGTACTGAAGTCTTCCAGTTTTAATCCTTGTTGTCATCAGAGATGCTCCAATTTCTCCTCTCAATGCAGCATTTGGTGCATATTTTGGAGCCCCCAAGATCTGTCTGTAGACCACCAGTTGGTGAGGAAGCCGCCGCAGCCAGTTGACATCAATTGAGAGGGACAGGAAGTGTCTAGCTTTGAAGAGAAAGTTAACATTGACATAGAGCATCGAGTTACTTACTTCCAAATGTGATGTCAAAAATTAGGTACCTAGGCAGTAGGGGCAGTAGGCACCTACCTTACTGTTACGGCTAACACTAGCTTTTCTGTTCAGCATTGACATTAACAAAAAATACCACAAGCTATTAGCTATACTACAAGCTATTAAATATAACGAATAAGGAAATAAAAACACTGATCCTACCTGTGCCGGCAACGAATCACAGCAAGTTGAAATACGAACCCCCAAGAAGGCCATGTGGGGACACGCCTAAGAGCTGGACTTTTTGATGACGTCTTCGGGTGACGTCATGTCGTGTGTGACGTTTCGTGAGCAGGTAAGGAAAAGTCACCACCGCTGGCGAACATATTGGTGCGGTAAATGGCAAACACAAATGCTGCGCAGAAAAGACAAATGTGTAACTTCAGACAACATTCGTTCGGACGACAATGTCAAGGCGAATCAAGAAGTTGTTCATGCGATTGTTAGTTATCTGTCGTGCTATTTAAGTATGATTGTTATTAGCAGTTGATTTGTGAAATGTATTATCAAAATCAATGTTTATTGAACGCAGATTCAGTTTATTTTCAGCTGTACCTAGGTACCCTTACACTTCACTCATCTCAAGCTGTTCAAACACCCTTGACAAAGTCGATTAAGATGAAATGTTCGGTATAATTTATACTGTGTTTTCTCTGCATTATTAACATATTCATATATACAATATAAGGGCCACATGCTTTTTACAGGGAGACATGTCAGACAGCCGAGTAGGATGAGGCTTCGTCAAGCGTCATTTTTAGCAAAGCTTTTCTTGCTTAAAATCCAGTCTGCAAAACATGGCAGGGCTTACACTTTGGCTTACACTTGATTCCCAGCTGTTGTGTCTTTGCTATGCGATGTTAAACATATAAAACATCTTACTATTCATGTATGCGCCATGACTCATGTAATCTTTTCACAGCCAAGACGCTCCTAAGGTACTGGGAATGTGGGGAGTGCAGCAGCATCAGTGCAGCACCGATGGTCGGATGCGACAGCTGCGATAAATGGTACCACTTCCGTTGTGCGGGACTGACTAAAGAGCCAGGTAAGCGCAAATGTTTTCTGTCTCAGTATTTTTGTTGCAGCTATAGTGATCAATGAAATATTTTCTGCACTGTTCAGCTAAACATGTATTTCAAACAATCTGCTTCCCAACCAAGGGCGTCGCCACGGGGGGGGGGACGGAGGGGATCTCGTCCCCTCCACTTTTTAAAATTTTAACATTACGCCTATGGCGTTGCATGGAAAGAATCGACTTGAAATGGTCCTCGTCCCCTCCAAAATGGTCAATGTCCCCTCCAGTCGTCGCACCGTGGCGTCGCCCCTGTTCCCAACTACACAAATTTAGTCAAACAATGTGCCAATATGGAATTTTCAGGTTCAGTTGAATGAAATAGGAACAATGATAATTGTAGATTACGTATACCTGCAAGAGAGGAAAACAGAATACATTGTATTGCTTGTCCTTCACCGATACTGTTATTTTTCCATTTCTAGAAACACCGACATGGCGATGCAGGTGGTACTGCCTGGTGAGGCCGCGGTCTCCGGAATCGCCTGCAGACGAAGTCACCTGGCGTCCATCTGCACATCACTTGCAGCAGTGAGGCCTGCTGACAGCGTCTGGCAGTGTCGGCAACGTGCCAGACAGCTATCTGGAGTCCTGCTCACCGCAGGTCGCCGACAGGAGGGGCGACGCATCGTCTCCGAGGTCGCCTCAGCAGCAGTGAGACCCCACTGGCCGTCTTCTTAGGCTTCAACTAGATTGCGAACAACCTATGCTCAGACAACGCCCATGACGTGTGATCCGGTACCGCTACCGCACTGCGTGCCTGTGCCCGCCGTGAGCCGCTAGTGCATGGGTTCGACCATGAGAATATGTGTTTGTGTTGCTTTTACTATTGTTTATACGTTGAAGTGACGAATTGTTTATTTTTCGCAAGCCTCCGCTGTCCGGTTGCCTGCAGCTCCATGCAACGCCAGCTGTACTGTTGTTTTAATGTTGTCTCTCCGCTCAGCTGTACTGTTGCCTCTCCGCTCCGCTCATAACAACCTATGCTGAGACAACGCCCATGACGTGTGATCCGGTACCGCTACCGCACTGCGTGCCTGTGCCCGCCGTGAGCCGCTAGTGCATGGGTTCGACCATGAGAATCTGTGTTTATGTTGTTTTTTATACTATTGTTTATACGTTCAAGTGACGAATTGTTTATTTTTCGCAAGCCTCCGCTGTCCGGTTGCCTGCAGCTCCATGCAACGCCAGCTGTACTGTTGTTTTAATGTTGTCTCTCCGCTCAGCTGTACTGTTGCCTCTCCGCTCATATATGACACCCTCTATATGAATGGCACTACTGATTGTCACACCCACTGCCCGTATTGTCCGTAGTGGTGTCTACGTCCATGTTAATACAGCGTGCAGAATCCAGATTCTATTGAGGAGAGTTGAGCCAAGTCACCATAGGCTCGGGAAGAGAGCAACGTGGAGGCCCACTGCCCCTTCCCCGGCCCCCACTGGGGGCGCCAGCCACTCCAACTTTTGACTGGATGTCAAGAGCGTCGCCACGAGGGGAACGAGTCGCCGGCCAGCCAAGGTAGCCAACGGCGTGTGAAGGTTGCCTGACCTCGAGGAAACTGAGATGGCACCAAGGGAGGTTTTGTTAAGTAGGCGACCAAAATTCGAGCGGCAGCAACCTGGGCACCTTCACAGATAGCAGTGCCGCGTATCAGGGCGCCTTCGGCGTTGAGCTGGGCGCCGATCATCAGGACGCCGGGGGAATATGACCCAATATCCCCCGTAAATATGTGCCTGGGAAGGGAGACCCAACCATAAAACTGAAAGCTCGCCGTATTTTATCCACTATTTTTCGAGCAGGTCCATAGATTTCCGTCCTCAAAAGTGCGGGGATATTCCCCAGTGTTTGAGTTGGATGGGACTATAGTGGCGTTTACACCGACAGGAGATTCCCATTGCCGGCTGTGGGAAACTACTGTCGGTGTAAACGCCATTCATATTTCCTGCGTCACCCCTGTGGGGACGCTCTTACTCCATGGTGCCGAGCTTATCAATTTGGATATCAATGGAATCAAAATCTTATCGATCGATGAAGAACTAAATTACCCCGACCCGGAGAGCGTCTTTGGAATCAAAGCAGTAGCACATGACGCAAGACTTTAGGCAAATAAATCCTTCTTGTCTGAAATAAAACATTTGTGTATTGATAAGCACGTTTTATAAGCAATGGTAGCAAGATTCTCTATGTATTTGGTTAAAGTGATAATTTAGAAGCAGATACTTACCGTCGCATTTCGTTATTTTTAATTAATAATTTATATTGTCAGAACTAGCAACATGTCTCTTCACTCAACAATAATTAGAAAAGTGAAAAAGAAATGATAAATTGCTTATATTTTGGTGAAACTAAAAATTAATTCAGCACATATTTTTTTTTACAGCGTTGAAGTCCAGCTCCAAAGGACAGCTGACGATCGTAGCCGAGCAGGCTGTTTGGTACTTCTTCACTACTTCTTAGAAGTACCCGTTAGTACCGATCATGTCTCACATAATAAGCTATTGGAACAAAAATATCCATGTTCTTCTAATTATTCTCCTTTCACACTTTAAATAAATACTTTGAAATGCATTTACTAATTAATTTCACAAAAACGGCTTGAAATTTTACAACGTAAAAATACTTCTTCCAATTTCCACCATGAAACCACCACTATATTACTTGCTTACAGAACCGTGCGCACAGTGCGCGCAATTTTATCGTGACGTCAGAGGGTGCTTCCTCAGTGGCGCCCCCTGGCGGGGAACGCGTGCAAAAAGTCCAGCTCTTAGGCATGTCCGCCATGTGGTACACAAACGCACAAACTCAAATATCGCTAAAGCAACGGCTGCGCGAAATTGATTTGGCAGCATTTGCTAGCATTTTGCTTTATCCCTTCACTAGGTAAAAGTAACTCAAATCATTCATTCTGGTGAGAAATCAAATTTATTCTAAAATTGATTATTGTTATTAGCAATTATTAATACCTTACCCTTAACAGATGCTTAAAAGTTATACACACTGAAAATTTTGATTGTTTTTATTTACCATAAAGCAGATATTTTTGCACTTATACTAAGAATCCTTTACAAGGAGCCTATTTCATATTCTGCGCGTCAAAGACAAAATATTCCATGAGGGGTGGCTCACACAGAGAGAGATCTAAAAAAATATATTAAGGCTTACTCGTTTTACTGCGAATTTTTGTAAAAATTGATTATGCCATTTGTATATTCTATCTCTAAAATGATATTACTATCATTTCCTTACTTAACTGTGAAATTTGAGAGGTTAATTTTGGCTGCAGGTGTTGCAAGTAGTAGCAAATAGACCCTAGAGATGATCTGGAGCGATGCATTTTACCTAACCGTTATTGTAATATGAACTTAGCCTAAAAAGAAGCGCCAGTACAAACAGGAAAAATTCACGAGATCAGTCAAAGCAAAAGCCGTAGATCTATAAGATCTCCAGGGATATCAATATAATGAATATAGGGAACAGGAATGCAGATTATTCTTTACAGAATACAGGGAAATTGGTGAAAGGGTCAAAATAGTTTCGATTAGTACAGACAAAGAAGCAAGCAAAAAGAAGCATAAGGTGGTACTTTGACCTTTGTTGGGACCAAGGCCCTATATAGGTAGGTACCGTTGAGACTGAATAGTTACAGGTAGCAATCGTTGGTTGATGGCTTCAGCAGGGCAAATAATAAAGCAAGCTCAGTTGCTTCATTGTACCAGGTGACAGCACTTTGTATGTTAGGTATATGTCAAGTTTAGGTCCTAACTACAATTGTGACGCTGTTAATACGAATATGAAACAGCAAAAATTTTAGGTTTTAGGTTAGGTTAGGTTGTAGGTTTGTAGGTTTTAGGTTGTAGGTAGGTAGGTTTGTAGGTTAGGTTAGGTTAGGGTAGGTTTGTAGGTTGTACGTTGGTAGGTTATAGGTAAGTAGGTAAGGTTAGGTAAGGTTTGATTATGTTTTTTTCTTTTATCTGCGAGACAAATGAGTATCATTTTTGGATTCAGGATGTCAAATAATGTAAAAATATGAAAAATTTATCAATGAAATCTTCTTAGGACTTAAACTTGACATTTACCGTATGTTATAAGTGTAAATAAGCCAAGGCACACGCCACACCATGAGAAGATCATCAGCACCATCCGCTGGAGGATTGAACAAACGTGGAAAGTTTTCTACCCCATTTGTTGCAAAGCCATCTGAGGCCAAGACTGTGAAGCAGGTGTCTTGTGAAAATTTCACAACAGGTGATTATTGACTGCATGCCAACCTCAACCTTCAAGGAAATTGCTGGTCTATTGAATGTTTTAAATGTGCTTCCATCACATAGGCCGGCAACTCTATTATATGTCTTGGTCTGCTTTCTGTATTTTTTTTCTTCAAAGTATGGGCTGTTTTATGAATGCACTTTTGGACATGGTTTCAGTGCCTCACAGTTGAAGCCATTTTGATTGTTATAGATATGCAAAGTGCCTGATAAGCTGGTATTTGTTTCAGGCAATTTTCCAGCATCTGGCCATTTTCCAAAGCAGGGCTGCAGCAACTCTGCAACACCTGAGCCAGAGTTGAACAGAAGACCCCTGACAGAGATTCTCAGCCTGCTGGGGCCGCCATGTTCTTCCAGTCAGTCAGACAGCACTGCCACTCAGCCCCAGTGTACTGGAGGTGGTCTGTCAGCAGGGTCAGCTGCTCAGGTCACTCAGCTGACCCCAAAACTCAGCTCATTCAGATCCACTGGGAAACCATCAAATGTGACCATACAAGCAGCACTGAATGAAAATTCTGCTGTACCTGAGACAGAAAAAGCACCTGATGGAGTCAGGTGGGACTTTGGAGTGACTCTGTTTTACATTTTTGGGCTTTGTATGAGCTTTTATGTTGTGAAAGTTTAGCTACACTACAGTGCTCCACGACATGCATATACTGAAAAGAATTGATACTTTGCTCAGAGATGCATATTTGTCATCTTTTATTTTTTATTGTTTCAAGTTTTATTCTCCATTTCCCAGATATTTTGAAGTCATATGGTGCAAGAAATCGACCAGGAAGCACAAGAAATGGGAGGGTGATGCCCTGATGGAGGTGCACCGACGGCATGTGACTCTCACGGTCAGTGACACTGAACTCAGGCTCCAATGCAAAGAGTTGTGTTGTGATCGCTGCTGCCAGCATAACGTACTGGCTCATCGATGTTAAGACTGACCATTGAAACTTCTAGTACTAGCTGTCAGAAACGCGGCTAGTGTAAAACTACGATTAACATCGCTATAACCGAGATCGTGTGGTTTTCTTGTTTTCTTACGGCAATATTTATCGGTAAGATGAACTTCTGTCGCAGGATCTCGATGGGAAGGAGATCGGACAGTGTTCCGGCTACAAGATCAAGGAGCTGGAGGAGCTCACAGACGGCAGTCTGCTCTCTGTCGGCGGCAAGGAGGTCGAGGTCAAGTCGCATGGGCGCATTATCGACGATACATCAAAAAGTTTAGCTTTTGTATCTCGATTCACGATTGTAGCACTTGGATGAAAATAATTTTTCATAGAAGAGTATTTCTTTATTTGTAATAGTGACCCTAGTACGTATTATAAGTTATAACAGTAGTCAGTACCGTAAGCGCCGTCGATGCTGACCGGTTACAACTCACGATCTTCCGAACTTCCATCGATCTCTCGTCGATAACTGAATATTTGCTCCTTGCTGTCCTCAGATCCAAAACTCGGTCACCCGGGAGCAGTTCGTGGCCAAAACTTCTGGCGCCGCGGCTGCACCGGCACCTCCAGCCGTCGAGCCGCCCCCTCCCCCGCCCCCGCCGCCCAGCCGCCCGTTCATCAGCCCGCTGGCGGGGGCGGCACCGCGGCGTCCTGGCGGTGGACCGGTGCAGCCGAGGTTTGATCCGCGCTCACCAGGGGCGCTAGTGATGCCCCGACCGTCGGCTCAATATCAGGTAAGAACGTTGACTGTTTTTAGGCCTTAGGACGGGCTATGTATGACCTTGTATGGATAAATCTACATTGTATGAACATGACACGTTGTGATATTGTAATCAATATCAACTGCGAATGCCGCTTTACATCTTCCAATAACTTGTATTTCCGTTATTTATCCGTTTTTAACCACTCTCCGTTCCCTCGACGCCGTTCCAGTGGCGGTACAACGGCGGCGGTGACGGCGGCGGCAGCCGGCCGCTGGTGGACGTCGTCGTGGACCCCCATCTCTCCCGTCACCTCCGACCCCACCAGCGGGACGGCGTCAGCTTCCTCTACCGCTGTGTCATGGGCTTCGACACGGAGCTGGGACGGGGGGCGGTGCTCGCTGACCAGATGGGACTCGGCAAGACGCTGCAGTGCATCGCGCTCATATGGTGAGGAAGTAATGCAGTCTCTTCCATCGCCATACCGCCATTCGCCCTCTCTTGGCTATTCTGGCTTATTTTTTGCCATATCGCTATGCGTCGCCATATTGCCTTCTCTTGGTTATTCTTGTTTATTTTCGCGGTTGTGCCGAGCACTGTCGATGACAACACCTGAGCTAATTTAACAGTTTATGAGTGATTCCCGATTGACATATGTGAACACATATAGGTACACGACACAGATAGCTTATTTTGTAACGATCACTCGCATCATCATCCCTTCCGCAGGACGCTGCTCAAGCAGGGCCCGTTCGGGGGAGAGCCGGTGGTGCGTCGTGTGCTGATCGTCACCCCGTCCAGCCTCGTCAGGAACTGGGTCAACGAGTTCAAAAAGTGGCTCGGCAAGGAGCGTCTCGCCGTGTTTGCTGTGGATCAGGTTAGGCTCTTAGGATCAGGTTGGGATCAGGTATGGTCGCACGGCTCGGTGGGACGGAGGGAGCTGTCTCCTGTCTTGTGCCCTCCTGCAGGGTGGGGGAGCACGATAATAAGATATTCTATCAGTGCCTCGTGGGTATCAGCTCTTAACATCGATCTCATTTCCGTCGATGCTCAGTCGATTTGTTGTATGTGCGCTGGCCATCGGCTGTTTTACCGTCATACTGTGGACGCTCATTTTCAACAAAGATAGATATCAAATGTAAATCGATATGAAAATATAACCGCTATTCTGTTGACTTTTCAAGATAATAATTGGGTTGTCCTCGAATATCCCGACTAAACCGCTGTGTCCCCTCCCCCCTCCCCAGAACCACACCGTTCGCGAGTTCGCCGGCGGCCGAATCTGTCCCGTGCTGATCGTCTCCTATGAGATGGCCGTCCGGAGCCTTGCGGAGCTACAGCGGTGTCAGTTCGATCTCATGATCTGTGACGAGGGGCACCGACTGAAAAACTCCAACATCAAAACGGCCACGGTGAGGGATGGGGCAAAGACATCGGGAAGGGGGGGGGGGGGGGTCAGGCTCATGGAGTTTTTTATCGCAGCGATTTTTTTCTTTTAGCTTTCGTGCGTCCTTGGCTAGTGTTGCCAAGTACCTGTATTATTGACTGCAATATCACGTAACATACCGTACCTCTAGAATCTAAACGCTTAAATCTCAACTCACGCACATCATTATCACTTTAGGTCTCCTAAACCCCGTCTCTCGGCAGGCTCTGACGTCTCTGGAGTGTCCGCGCCGTGTGTTGATGACCGGCACACCGGTCCAGAACGACCTCCTCGAGTTCTTCTCACTGCTGCAGTTCGTCAACCCCGGAGCACTGGGGTCGCTGGCAGGTGAGAGTCGGGGGTCGGTGAGAGACAAACGGACTGGGCGTGATTAGGATATCGGTGAGATTCGTCGTTTGTGAGAGGTATATGTAGGTGAGTCAAAACTCGAAGTCGGGCATAGCTGAACGTCTGGGTCGGTAACTCTTGGAGTCGGTGAGAGTCGAAATGGGTGAGATTTGGGTCTGTGAAAGTAAGTGACGGAGTCAAGGCCGGCGCTACTTGTGGTTCTTTAAGGCTGAAACAGACTCTTTCCGCGTTCAGGAAATCGCATGCGAGAGCCTATTCAAATACATTGTAATTCTTCTCGCATCAATCGCTTACGGGAGGTGCGTGCGATTGATGCGAGCGTGCTTCCATGTATTTGAATAGGCTCTCGCATGCGATTTCCTGACTGCGGAAAGAGTCTGTTTCAGCCTTTAGAGATCCGGCGGGACTACGAGATATCTTTGCATTGTAAAAGGTAGCTCCTACTGCGAGTATGCTGCATAGTGCATGTCTCATGTGTCTGTCTCCCTCGTAGAGTTCCGTCGTGACTACGAGCGTCCGGTGGTTGAGGGCCGTCAGCCGGGAGCCTCGGAGGAGATCCGACAACTGGGCGAGGAGAGGGCCGAGCAGCTGGCCAACATTACAGACAGGTGCGTAACGCAACATAATTTATATATTCGGGACGGTAATGTTAGCCGCTGTAGAGTACACTGGCTGAGGGGCATAGGCATTAGGCAACGAGGCAGGGAAATCGTTGCTTGTCTTGCGCGCGTCAGGTTATGATGTAAAAGCTTAATCTGACTACTGCTAAGTCAATGTGGGTAAAAATTTGCCCTTGTAACTGATCATCCTAGGTAACGAGAATCAGCCAATGTCAGGTCCCCAATGTGTCAGTCTATGCCAATGGAACTGTCCCTTACGCCGAGTGAAGGATTTCACGCTCAGCCTCTCACTCTTTTCTGTGTCGTGCCGCTCCGCACTATCCTTTCAGCTCAGCTCTTTGACGTTGTTCATGTTCAGGTTTATCCTGCGCCGGACCCAGGAGGTGCTGGACCGCTACCTGCCGCCCAAGGTGGAGACGGTGGTCTTCTGCCGACCCTCGCCGCTGCAGGTTCGTGCTGAGTCGAGAGCTGACTTGCGGGTATATTTATCTGTAGCCCTTACTGTGTCGACAAGCGTGAGTCATGCCTGTCTGATTCGTACTGAGTAACTGGCACATCGAACTCAAGATTGCTAGAACTTAGAGAGCATACATAGGTTACTTGAGCATTACTAGAATGTCGAGCAGACGTTCCGCTCTAATTGTACACTGACTGACTTATGGTTGCACTTTCATTGAGCTACTGTTACAGGGTCCGAGCAGCTCCACCCCAAGTAACGCTGTTCTGTCTGACCCTCCCAGGAGGAGCTGTACGACCGGGTGCTGCAGAGCCGCGAGCTGCAGCAGCTGTTGAGCTGTGACAGCTCCTCAGCCGCCGGTACCGTCCACCTGGTGTACATCGCCCTGCTAAGGAAACTTTGCAGTCACCCGGCGCTGCTCCGGTCGGCGGCGGAGAAACAGGAGGTGGGTCTGACAAGGCGAGACACTGGGTGAGCTGAAATAAGTAGATTCAAGCTCCAGCTTCTGACCGAGACTTTAAAACCTAATTGACTCAGTTCCCGACTTTCTTAGGCTTGTAAACGGTCTTAGTTATGGCTATATAGATTTACTTAATTTGTGAAGTTATATGTCCGCGGCGTATTGTACGATTTTATGAGTAAGTGCGATTCTGTGACGCTGGTGCGTGCTCAAATATGTAAGCCGCTTCTTCTGACATGCTGTCTTTCTTGCCTCTCCCTCTCCATCTCTCCGGTAGTCTGCCCTGCTCTCTCGGCTGCAGCTGGATCTGGACCGTCTGGAATCGGACCTGGACGGTCCGGAGTCCGGTCTGTACCGTCTGGGTCCGGGCCGGTCCGGACTCCAGGCCCACCTCTCCGGGAAGATGGCCGTGGTGTCCAGTCTGCTGGAGAGCCTGCAGTCCAGGGAGAAGGTGGTGCTGATCTCGTACTATACACAGGTGAGGAGAAGGATGCTGGTGGAGGGTTGGAATGGATGGGTGAGCGTATTTCTAAAAACCGGTAATGAAGAATGGATGGGTGAGCGTATTTCTAAAAACCGGTAATGAAGAATGGATGGGTGAGCGTATTTCTAAAAACCGGTAATGAAGCGGAGTGCCTCGCAAAGCTGTTTTTTGTGGGTGTTTTGGGCATTTGGCAGACAACTTGGTGCTTTTATGCGCTATTTCTTACGAGTGTGGTTTGTTTTGAGATTTAATTGCTCAGATACATATATTCCGATTCAGCTGAGCATGAATGCTGTTGAAAACGTCGTTCCTGACTGTTCTCTTCCAGACTCTCGACCTTCTGGCAGAGCTATGCCAGCAGCTTCAGCTGGGCTTCTTTCGACTAGATGGCAGCACGCCATCCACCAAGAGACAGTCTCTGGTCGACCAGTTCAATAGCTCGTATTCGACTGAAGGTATGATCTGTTATAGACCAATGTCTTGCTGTAAATGTTTGTGATGACCGGTCTTCTTAAGTGCACGGGAACATACGAGTATTTGTGTGAATACTGAATACCGACTACCCTGCTCTTGCATATGGGGATAATGAAATGTGAGCTCCTAGGGAGCTGTTTTCCGTCCACTATCCCTGACTTATGAATAATTCGGAGTGCTCGCTGAAGTCAGCCCCTGTATTCCGGTTTGGACTGACCGTTTCTTTCTCTCCTCTGCTGCCAGCCGTGTTCCTGCTGTCGGCCAAGGCCGGAGGTGTCGGTCTGAACCTGGTGGGCGCCTCCTCTATCGTCCTGTTTGACCTCGACTGGAACCCCGCCAACGACCTGCAAGCACTGGCCCGCGTCTGGAGGGACGGACAGAAACGAACCACGAGGGTCTACAGGTACGCATTATGCTAACTAGTGCACAGGTAAAAAAAAAAACTAGTTCACAGGTATGCACCACACTCAAGGGTGTACGAGTAGGGCGGGCAGAAACGCACCACGCGGGTCAACTGGTAAGACGGACAGATCACAGAAACGTACCTACCTGTATACCCGCACCTCACAGTTGTAGAGAGGTGGAAGTGGGCAACCGTCATGGATGCTGCGGGAATATTATCAGCCTGGACGCACATTTTTATTCACTGCAATCTGTTATTTTTCGCCAGCTGTACCCCTTATGAAGAATCTTCGCGAGGCTTGGACAAGACCACTTCCTTCGGTGGCACCCATCTGATGTCCAGGCTATTGTCTCCCCTGTGTCTATTAAAACTTTTTACGTTGTGTTTCAGACTTCTGACGGCCGGCACGATCGAGGAAAAGATCTACCAGCGTCAGATCAGCAAGCAGGGTCTGAGCGCCGCTGTGGTGGACGCCGGACAGCGGTCAGCGGCACACTTTAGCCGGGACGAGCTCAGGGTCAGTTGGTGGGCGGCTATGCACGCTTACCCTCTATTATAAAGGTTACCCTCGATACACAGCTGCAGAGAGGGTCAGCAACTCAGGGTCAGTTGATGGGTCGCCGTTCAGTTCAGCCATACATATTACACATAGCGCAGACTGCGCTGGGGGACTCTCAGTCAGGGGATGAATTCGTGGTCAATCATAGGTAGCCTGCTTTCTCTGGAGGACCTCGAGGTTGACCATCTGTGTGCGTGTGGTGTGTGTCCTGTTTTTTCCTCGCTAAGATGACCGCCATGTTGTCTATGACGAGGTTCGTCTGTAATGAGAAAAGTTCGTCTACGATGACAAGGATTTGCCTCTGCCTTCGCCAGGACCTGTTTTCGCTCGATGACGGCGTCGACTGCAGTACCCACGACCTGCTGAGTTGCGGCTGTGACCTGGCAGGCGGACCCTGCCCCTCCACGGCAGAGGATGAGGGCGAGTCTGCTGACACGGCGGTGGACGTGCGGCCCTGTCAGCTCGGTGAGTTTAGTGAGCGAATGAAGGGAAGGAAGGGGTATGGTTGAGTTCGACCTGCACAACAGACTAGACTTGGTTATTGAAACCTCATCTTACCAAGATACGAATATAGTAACGGTGATCTCAGTCTCTGATGAAGTTCAGTCCAACAAATAATCGCATTGGCACGTCTCAGTCGTCTGCCGGTATTATGTGTCTTATCCTGGTTATTTTCCGACATCTACCACCGGCTCTGTGCTCGCATTGATGGGTGATGTTCCAGCGTGGTACAGTTATCTGTGAACCATGCTGTACCACGGAGTAGCTGAACCTATGTAGTAACTCGTGTAGTAACCCGTGTTATCCCACCCCAGGACCGTCTGACCCGACCTCGGCAACCGCCGGTGGCCGCCATACGGGTATGGAACGGCTGCTAGAGTGGCAGCACTATGGTGCTCCATTTGACCCGGACGTCATACAGGTAAGTTCCGGAGTCGGGGGGGGGGGGGGGGGGGGGGGGTCCGATCGAGTCGTGTGATCGGATCTTACGGTCTGGGCTCGGGTTCGGTAGGGTCTGCTCTGGTAGGGTCGAGTTGAACCAGTGTAGTCGAGTCAGATCATTTAGGACATGTCTCGGGTCTGGTGGTGGTGGAATGGCCTAGAAAGACTGCGAAAGCCGCTGAAATTTGCCTATGCCCGGCGCTTAATACCATTCACTAGGCTGTTCGCACTTTCTTTGACCGTTTATTCTTTGTCTTTGTTTTGTCGTTGCTTTTTATGAGAACTTGCCCACCCTCCGGCCTCCACTCCTTCCTCGTTTTCTCTCTTTTTTATCCCTACGATGCTAATTATCCTTACCGCAAGACATGGCAAACAAGTTAGCTGTTTACCCCTAATTTCCTAGGCCAATTTGTAAAATAATAATTACCAGTTATTAAGATCTACCTGTGAAACAAAATTATCATTATCATCGGGAATGTTTGAGCCCTGCTTGTTCTATCGCCTACGTCCTATTCTGAGCTACACCAACGGCTACTTATTTCCGTTAACCTCACACCACAGGCGCCACAGGAAGGTGCTATGCCGGCAAAGCTCCCGGCTGCGGTTGGGCAGCAGCACGTATTGTCGGCCAACACAGCCCCCCCCCCCCCCCCCCAGCACGGTGACACACGCGTCACCCCACCACCACCGTGTGTTTGTGTGTGGGACCGGGGCGGAGGGCGGGGCTCGGCACCCGGGTGGCCACCTGTGACAGCGGCACTACGTCCGCTCGCAAATGGCACCCAACTCCCCTCCCCTCCCCTGCCCTCCCCCGGTGCGACCGCCACCCCGCCGCGCACCAAAACATGGTGACGTCATGACACGCTGTGTTGGGCTGGGTGGTAAGCGGGGCTAAACGGGAGGGACATTGCGGTTGATGGGGCCTATGATTCGCTGGTTTATTCAATATATCTAAGTAAGAGCGGCATGTTTGGTCATTTATCATCAGAGGGATGCCGGGCTAACGTTCTATTTTTACACGCATTGAATGCCTAAATTTAACTTTGGTTGAGTACTGAATACCAATGAATAAGACAAAGCCTCTAAGCGCTGGCAGAGCAGCTGTTTTCTCGAGCATTATTTCAATTTAGCTACAAACGTTGCATCTCGAAGCCGGGTTAGGTGTTCGATGCCGGTTTCACCGTTTCTACAAGACTAATTCGCACATGTTCTTTGTTTATTTTCAAACTCAACAGCTGTTGTGCATCACAGCTGTTTTATATTTTTATCCTTTGTATCCACGACATCATGCTGAAATGTTACCTGAATTGACGTTTGTGTTCATTTCATGTCCATTTCCTTGCTAATTTGTCAAATCCTGACTGTATGTGTGGGAAGCATTTATCAACTGCTGTCAACGGCTATTGTCAACCGCTGTTCATGTTATATCCTCAGATCCATTTAAAATCAGAGACCCACCGCCGTTTTCTGGCCTATCGTCCCCATCTCCGACATATGAGCTGTCGGCTATTGTCGGCATTCTGTCCATCTGATATATCTGAGCGGACTCTGATGCTTTGGCCGTGTGTGCCCCGCAGGATGAGGGCCTGGCTCGAGCCGGTGACGTCATCACGTTCCTATTCCGACACGTCGTAGCAGCGGCGTTCGAGTAGTGATGACGTCACGATATGATCTGAGAAACTGTGATCTTTGACGGCTGTTGAGCTGTTGGTTTGTGAAATCGTGTTGTTGAGTACAATAAAGCACGTGTCATTATATGGCTGTGTTTGGTGAGACGGGTTGATGTTTGAATGGAAGGAGGGTTGTATGTATAGAAATAGGGTTTTCCGTAATTTTTATCGACACTTTTATGAGAACGACAATCATCGATACTCTGATTGACGATTGTATCGATGATTGTCGTTCTCAAGCATTCTATGCACCACGCAGTCTGAAGAAGCTTTCTCGATAACGAATGTGGCGAGATGCTGCTTGTCGAGCTCTACACGCATATTGGCTTCCGAGCTCCGACTGTCAGGCATGGCTTCACTTCATACCATTTTCTATGAGCTGGTGACTGCTCATATGGCTAAATTCCCTTCTTCACTGACCGTAATTCGCATCAGGGAATCAAGCGGGAAATCAATGCTACCCGCATGGCTCGCCAGGCCCGCATTTCTGTCGTGAATATTCATCCATGAGCCGAGTCGGGTCTCTACTCTCTCCCGCGACGAGTCTCGAGTCTCGGCCGATGCCAAGGCCAGATGTCACACTGCGTTTTTCATGCGGGTAACCCACTGACAGGTAGCGCGTACAGCGCACCTTACGTAAGGCCGCTGGAGCGGGAGGGGGAGGTATGTCGTACCGGGCGAGTGATCCAAAGATGGCAGTTCGATTCGAATGGTGATCATGTATCAGGAAGCGTGGGTTCATGGGAGACATCGGGTCATGGGGTGCTCGGGATGGTAATGCCAGTGATGCGAGTGTGTGACGGGCGTAAGCATACCTGCCGTTTCTCAGTGAAATAACTCACGAATCCTCCGGCATGACCCTTGGATCACTGTCGGGTATGACCCAGCACCTCTCCCCAACCCCCCCCCCCCCCCCTCCCCCTCACACACACACTGCACACCTTGCCAACCGTCAAACTCCGGAGTGTGACGATGCCTACTGTCGGCCGGGTCGGGTGGCGGTCCGCCGCCGCACCTGTGGGCCCACCGCCTCTGCCTCCGCCCCTGCACCGTCACCGCCGCCGCCGCCGCCGCCGCCGCCAGTGCTGAGCGCGCGGCGGCGCGATGCGGTGGTGCTGCGTGGTGTCAGTGCTGGTGGTGGTGACGGCCCTGGGCCCCGCAGCGGCCCAGGCGCCCGTCGATCTCGAGCGGAATATCTATGACAGTGTGGACGGTAACCTAATACCGACCGGAGGAGCCGGGCGGTATGACATCGACTTCAGGACGCACAGGAACCCGTGAGTGTGAGCCGGGGTGGGGCGGGAGTGAGAGGCCCGCCAGCCGGGCGCCGGTGAAGGGGCGGAGGTCATGGGAGCTGACATGGCAGGCGTGCAGTGGAGGTGCAGTGATAGGGGTAGGGGGCAGAGGGTTGACAATATGCAACAGGTGCGCAGAAAGAATGGGACGGCAATGGTGTTGAGAGGTTACCAAGATTCCGAGCATGGGGCGTGCACTAAAGGACAATTATAGCGAAGCATGCAAGTGAGCATTGAGGCCGGGCAGACTGTGAGCGGCTTTGTGAGCAGGCAGTTATAAAGCAGGTTTAGGTAGGTAGGCCTACGTGTGGATAGCTGTTAGACGGAATTGAACGCTGGGTGCTCTTGGGACTGCGGTGCGGCTACCGAAGAGAAGACGGTATTTTTATGGCAGGTATCGTAAAGGCCCCTCTCGACACGACCACGCTACCATCCACTTCCAGTCTCGTCCCTCCGGTCCGCCAGCTGCCATTGAGCAGTTGACCACGCTATGCGCCGGTCCTCAAAACCAGTTTCCGCACGCCACGCCTCAAACCGGCCAGTATTTCCCGCCACGGCACAACCTTCCTCGTCGGCCGGTCAGCGCACGCCAAATCCTGCCGAAGGACTCGCTTAGTGCCTCCAACCGGTCCGGCAGCCGCGGTCAGCGTTTGAATAAGACCGCGCCGTTTCAAGGCCGCACCGCAGTCGCCATTGCTGAGCTGAATTCATCAGACGCAAACCATGAGCGAGGGCATGTAGACTGGAGAGCTTAGAAACCAACGTGGCTCTCAGTTGCAGCAGTATGAGGGAATAACTCATCCACCAGATACCTACCTACTCGGGTTTGCTACATTCAGCAATGCTGCATTCAATGGGTATGAGCTCACTGTAAGGAAGGTACAATAGTTGATTTCTTATTGCAACGAAACGTCTCTGACTGAACCATTTGTCAAATTCTCGGAGGAGTGACTCACATTCCCAATCCTTCAGTCTCGATCCTTCGCGCGACCTCCCGCTCGGTGCTACTCACAGCTCGCCATCAAGCTGACGTGGCTTTGTCTCCAGCATCCTCATGCCACTGCGCAAACGCTGCCCACGCTGTCCTAGCGTGACTGCGGGGTCAGCAGGTCGGTAATCTATGTACGGCCACGTTTTGCGCAGCTGAGCTCAGCCTCGGGGCTGGCGTCACTACGGCCCGGCTGTCCGTGCACATAGCAGCACGTGTGAGAGAGGGGAGGCTCCTGGGTCGCACCGTTCTGACTCGGTGTAACAGCGAGTCGTAGCACCATCGTACTGGCTGCGAGCCTGCACGCATTGTAGTATGATGGGAAAAACTGCTGACAGAAAGCTGTTTGGTGAGGCATATGAACATGGAGCCAGAGTTAATTATCGTTTAATTTCAAACGAGGTGCGCCTAATTGAGCTAGCTCGCTGCGCAGAAGCCATGCATTAAATTGCGCCGTGCCTGTTCGCAGCTAGGTATGCACCGCGATTTATCTAGGGCCTTTCCTTCTCGTTCTCAGGCGTGCAAGTTTGTTGTGGTTTCTCTTTCTGGTGAGTGAGACATCTCTGATACCCAGATTATCCGCTCGCAATGTTTGGTTTTGAGCTTATCGTGAAAATGCCTGAGACCACACTCTATCCGTCGGTCGGCTTTGTTGCTCTGGATTTGTAGCGTAATGTCATTGGTTGTCTGAAGTTACGGCGTTCTGATACCGTCACCGTTATCAATTTCATCCATCTGCTATCCTGAGCTGCAATGCACTATGTGTGCCTCGCTTTGCGACCACAGTTCCCCGTGAACCAACCTTGTGGACATCCTGTATCTGTATCTGATGTATAACCAACCTGTATCTCCGCGACCTTGTGCCCCATCCCAATCCCATCCCTGTTGCCATGCGGCCACCCCTCTTCTCCATTCTTCCACTCCTTCTCACTCCCATTCATCTGCCATGACTGGCCTCTCGACTGCCCAGTAATTATCAACTGGAAGCCGCCAAGCTCAGAGCTGCTGTCTGACGGAGGAGCTCCGGTTTATCCCGAGGGGGACAGAGGAAGGCCACATATAATAGGGTGCTGGAAGCGCAGAGATGTCCCGATGGAAGCCGAGCAAGGCCGTGTTATTGAGCATGTAGGATGTTGTTGCGAATGGACGGTATACTTATACAAGGTTTTGGCATTGAGGTTGGTGGTGGTGACCTTACTCTATATATGTAGGTGACGGGAGGGCCGCGCAGTGCTGACCTGAGCCCTGCGGATGGCGATGGAGATCTCTTCACGTTGAGTCAGCTGTATCTGTTCCAGCTCTTGGTAAATTTCTAAGGCACGCATCTATGTTGTTACAGCCTGCGTCACCTATGTGAGTGGCACAATCGCGGTGAACTAGGCATGCTCCAGTTTCATTATTCTCCATTTTCACCGGGTGAATGCACTTATCAGCTCCATTTTTTTTTTTTATCAGAACAGAAACTTCATTAGCCTATCGCTTGTAGTTCAGCTTGACACGTCACTGATCGTCTGAGTCGCCATGGGTATCCCAGTGACCTTGTGTCGCTCGGTGGAGCACGGTGTGGTTAGCGGCACGCGTCGTCACGGAACCCGTCACGGTTCGCGTCACGGACCTCGGCCGTACGTCGCGTCACGTCTTGGTTCGGTCTAATTGGGGGAGGCGGCGCCGCCAACGGGGTGCTGGAGTGTCGTTCAGTCTCTGGAACGACCGACCTCAAACATGGGGAAGGGGATGGTTCACAGGTGTAGAGATTGATGTAGGCCATTTATTTCGCCGTGATAGGGTATGCTGTTGTATTTTTGCTTTTGATTGACCCCTTTTTTAGTGATTAATGTAGTTTAATATGCACTCGAAGCAATAATCCCACATAAATGTTCAGCCTCCTACATCTGTTATCTTATGTTGTTTGTTTATCGTTAAAATCTCCAAAACAAAGGTGAGGATAACATGTTTTCAAAACGGTTACCGGTTTCTCCGGTTCTGCCGTAAGAGTGAGTAATGAAACACCTCCCTAATGTGTCTCCACATGTGGCATATTATCAGATGAACAATAGACATGGACGAGAGCCGCTAAGCCAACCAGCATGAGCTTGATTTGTGGTGAGCACTGTGCAGATCATGTGCCTGCCGCCCCCCCCCCCCCCATCCTGATTGACCGGTGACCCTCCAGTCAAACCTGTTGTCTGCTGACTTCAGGGAGAGAGTGAGAGTCGGAGAGAGAGAGAGGGGGAGATGGAGAGAGGGAGAGAGTAAGTGAGAGTGGAATACAGAGATGGGGAGAGCTCAGTGACCTGTCAAGACTACGTTTGAAGTCGGCCGATCCGCCGGTCCAGGGTTCAAGGCCATACAGCTGACGTTGAAACTGAGGGAAGAATCGGGTCGGCAGCAGTATCCACAGAGAGACGGACACGGTGAGAGGTATCAATACATAAAAGGAAGATGACTACCATAAGTGGTTGTGATTACGTCCTGAGATGCGGTTCCGAAAAACAAGATAACGGGACAGAAAAAGACTTAGTCCTTCTATGAGATGAAAGGATTCAAAGAGGCGCTGCCGCTCGCGGCATTGGTTATCACGTAGTTGAACTCAAACGAAAAAAGGAATGTCTGGCATGCTACTGATCGCGATTTACCGCCCTGTACGTGAGCGTGTGTGTGTATGTGTGTGCGTCCGCCATCACCGCGGTGACTGGCCGCCGTAACCTCCCCTCCCCTCCTCCCCTCTCACCCTTCCCTCCCCTCCTCCCCCTCCCCTCCCCGCCTCCCGCTGCGCTGGGAGGGCCCTGTTGGTATGCGCCCCACGCACGCCGCTGCGCGCTCCTCGAATGCACCTCGCCTCCTCGGCCGCTTGTCCGCCCGGTCAACCCAAAGTGCACACTCAGACTGCAACGTGTAGGTACAGGAATCTCGCTGCAGTTTTCATATTAGAAAGCTATCAATCGTCAGTGGAATCCATATCATTATGCGTGACCGTCGTTCGCGCTAAGCTTCACACGCATCTGAACATTTTTTCTTGTCTCGTAGATGGGCATCGACGTTCTTTATTTTCTTATCACCAAGCAGGCCGTTTTGCAGATGGCAGCTATAATTGACAGATACCAGTCATGCCTTTATGGCTCTTAAAAGACCATCGAAAAGAAAATGTCGATGCTGGAGTGGCATTCAGCTTGTCACGAATGATGACTTGAGCCTTACGGCTGCCATGGGGAAGCGCTGGAAGTTAGATGCTGACAGATAACGGTGATGAGTCAGTCGTTATGCAGAGTCGCAGGAGAGAGAGAGAGAGAGAGAGAGAGAGAGAGAGAGAGAGAGAGAGAGAGAGAGAGAGAGAGAGAGAGAGAGAGAGAGAGAGAGAAAGAGAGAGAGAGAGAGGGGAGGGAGGGAGGGAGGGAGGGAGGGAAGGAATTGATAGAGAGAGAGAGAGAGAGAGAGAGAGAGAGAGAGGGAGGGAGAGGGTGAGAGAGAGAGGGAGGGAGAGGGTGTGAGAGGGAGGGAGGGAAGGAGGGAGGGAATAGAGAAGAAAGATAAAGAGAGAGAGAGAGAGAGAGAGAGAGAGAGAGAGAGAGAGAGAGAGAGAGAGAGAGAGAGAGAGAGAGAGAGAGAGAGAGAGAGAGAGAGAGAGAGAGAGAGAGAGAGAGAGAGAGAGAGAGAGAGAGAGAGAGAGAGAGAGAGAGAGAGAGAGAGAGAGAGAGAGAGAGAGAGAGAGAGAGAGAAGGGGGAGGGAGAGAGGGTGAGAGAGACAGAGAGAGGAGATGGAAAAATCTAGGTACACCGAGAGAAATAAATGCAAGACTTAGAACATTGAGCAGCTTACTCCAACCGATTAAGATAATAATGTCTAACGATATTTTGACCTCTTTTCGGCGTAGTGAATAATACCGTGGACGACCCTCACATTTTCCGTCCGAAACGCAGACCACCTTCATAATACCTGCTTCAGGCGGCCAAACCAGTCACCCGCTAATGACTAATATTATAACCACTAAACACC